CCAAACTTCTAAAATTTGCAAGTTTGGTCCCTGGATTTTGTGTCTCTCACAGAAAGGTCCCTGTGAAAATTTCGATTCACCCCTCGAAAGTTTCAATTTTTCTCACTTGACCCCTAATTAATTAAATTATAAACATCCAGGTTATTACAGAAGAATAGGAAAAATATTGAAAATTTACTTAATTACAAAACTGTTGCCGTATTTTTATTTTGAATAGAAAATGCTAAAAATAACTTTATGTTGCTTTAGTTTTTAATCCCTTTTCAGAAAACATTTTCTAAAAAGAAAATAGAAAGGAGATACTAAATATGTTTTCTAGTCTGTTTTCTATTTTCATTTCTAATAAAAACAGACAACAGACCAACGAAATAGGTCTTAAGTTTTAGAAAAGTCATTTTCCTTAAGTTATTTATTCCGGTTTCAAGTTTATTCAAAAAAAAAAAAAAAAAAGAGAATTCTGCGGGATTCCTTAGTGATCTTATATACCCATGTGTCTAATGTGCCACATGTATGACTAGAATGAAGCATCTAAATTGGTATGTATTTTAAATGAACTCCTTGGTCGAAGAGAAACTTCGCATTCTTTGTGGGAGTAATCCTAGTAAATTCACTACATTGCCACTGTTAAATTCTCCACGCCTTCCCTTGCCCTACCTATTGTGAACATCTTCTACCAATAAAATCACGCGATTGTGTTCTTCCTTTGACGCCCTGGGTCCCAAAAATCCACATCTCAAGCAATATTTTAAGACTAAGGCAGATGATTATATTAGTAAAATTATCATACGATGATTCAATCGATTCCACTCGTTTCACCATTAGTTAAATTGACTAATAATTAAAAATATTTAAAATAAATAAATTAATAAATATATTTTATTTAATCATAAAATGATAATATTTTTTTTATTTTTATAATAAGTATAGCATAATTTAAATTACACAAATTTAAAATGTGAGTTTGAAATTCAAGTTTAGATTATGACATATTAATAAATACATAATTTTTTTTTATTTTGGTTCTCGATTCTTTTAAATAAAATTTAATAAATTAAATAAAATTAGTCGATTTTACTAATTTTTAATCAGTTTTAAATCGATTTTGATCTGTTAAATTTTTAATATCAATTAAAAGATTTTTCATTCGAATTATTTGACAAACCCAATCACGGTAAAATGGATTTAGCTACCAGGTTCCATTTAAATTTTAAAGCATTGATCTCAAGACCTACCTTAGATCACACATCAAATTTGCCGATCTCGAGATGCAAAACTCAACACAAGCTACAAATATCCTTGAAAATATAATTTCTCAAGTAATAATTCTCCAAAGGATTACAGGTCATGAGATTTCCGAAATACATGTTGAAAAGATCACATTTCATTGTACATTTGCACGAAGCAATTATCTGTTATGTGTTCTTTTCCTAAAAACACCTCACTCATATATCTGGAAGAGCAGTGAGCTACACTATCGGGCAACGCTCCTACTGTAGTTAGAAAATTCTACTTCCTTCTGATCTTGGACTACTTCTGGCATGAATTTATCGTGGAAAGCTATTAGTAATTGATTCCAACTGATGGTTTGTGCTTGTGGTACAATGGTATAGTGAACGGACTTCCACCAAATCTCAATTTCACCTGTCAGTAGCTCAGCGGCGAAGGGACTATTTTTTTACAAATTTAGAGTAATATATTTTTATTTTTAAAATTATAATTTTATAAGTATTAATTTTTAGATTATTTTATAAAATACATTTTAAAAATTGAAATATATACTTCTGAAACTAAGTATAATTTTAAATCTACACTCAATCTTAGAAGTATTTATTTCACTTTTATTAAAAAATTATTTCTACTTTTTCTTTTATTTTTTCTTACCAACACAATTACATATATATATATATATATATATGGTAAAATATAATTTTTTTCTAAATTATTATCATAATAATATTTATTTTCTAAAAATATGAAATGTAACGGTTTACTTTTTCAAGTTTGTCTTTAAAGTTTAAAAAAATTAACAATGTTAATATATTAATTTACTATAATACAATTTAATTATACTTTTAATTTACCATTTTATCCTATTCACGTTCGTCACTATTTACGCAACAGTTGATGGATAGATTTTTAATTAATTATATATTTGTATTATAAAATAAAAGTTGTTATTTTCATATAATTGAGGAATAGATTTTTAGTAATATTTTCTAAATTATAAATAATGAATAACGCAAGTTAAAAGGTTAATTTCATGAAAGGTATTATCTTTTTTTTAGTACAATAAAAACATTTATTTAACAAATTGATTGATGGATATTTTTTAATTAATTTTATTTTTTAATACAATAATGACTGTTATTTTATTGATAGTATTTAATAAATTATGGACAATATGTATGATATGGGTTAATGGGTATTTTGATTATTTAAATTCATGTATTAATTTTGTTAATTATTTTCGATCATGAATACAAAATTAAAGAGTTAAATTGTTATCTTTTATACTCTAGAAGAGTAAATATTATAATGGTCATAGTCTAAGAGAGTAAACTATATTATATATATATATATATACACACACACATATACATATATAAATATATTATTTTAGTCATTAATCTCTTAATTTTATCATTTTAGTCCTTATGTTAATTTTTTTATTAGCCTCCAACATGTTAATTTTTTCACATATATCATTACCTCAAAAATAATATATAAACGAACATAACTTTAAAAATATATGTAATACATTGTAAAAAACAGTATTTCATTTATTTCTACAACATTATATTTCAAATGCGTGTTTTAATTTTATAAACATGTATTTTTGACGCCGTAAAAGAATAGCCCCCAAGTGTTATGCTCTTGTGACATTTTCCTTGTTAATGCTGAAAGTAGGAGATTTTAGATTTTAAAATCGTTTGATGTATGACAGGTTCTTTAGATTCTCTTCATCATCCATTTCTTCTTCCTCTATAGTTTGGCCAAGCTCAATTCTGGTTGTGTAAAATTTTCTATCTGACTCACCTGAACTCGAAGAGCATTGGCCATATCTTTATGGCCTAAGGATTTGGCTAAGCATTTTGTTGGAGTTCCCTCTCGTCTTCTTGCAAATGTTGTAACCGGTGGAATGTCAGGGGTGTCATTGCTTGTTGCTACGGGGATTTAAATAAATACTCATGGTCCTAAGATCAAATATTATCATATCGAAGTCTTGCGATGAATAACACTTATATCATGAAAGAAAACACTAACACGTTAGAACGGCCCACTCCTCGTTGGAACAAAACATGTGGTGCATGAAAGGACAAACACATACGTTGTTAACTTGACATGAGATACTCTTGACCACTGAATAAACAATTAAAGTCACTGAATTTGCTAGTTCAAGGGTTTAACATCATATAGTAAAAACACTCATTTTTCTTACCATCCCATAATTTAGATTAGAATCCAGTTTTCAACAATGACTCTTCAAGGAGAAATATCCTTTGAAAGACAAATCTAAACTTATTTCTTCACTCCAAGAAATCTTTCAAAACTTAGTTTATAAGGTCAGAGATGAAAAATTTAAACATTGGTTGGATAGATGGACGATTTAACAAAGGGAGGTTAACAGTCGGTCATACAGACAGATAATGAAATAGTTGAATATAAACAGGCTAACAAATAGTCGAATAGTTGGACAGTCGGTCAAATAAAAGGATGAATGGTCTACCTAAGGAATATTGGACTTACAATCAGATAGCAAGTCCAAACAGATAGTTGGAAGGACGGTCGGGATGAATTGATGCATAATTTGGATTAAAAGAGTTTTTGTCAAGAGGATAAGCTTGGATCGACTCTTTGATTTTTCTTAGGTTGAATTGGCCCTTCAACAGTAATTTGATGGGTTTAATTTCGATTAGTGATTAGATTTTATTGAGAAATCAATTTATGAGAAATTAACTTTTTTTTATAAGTTATTTCATACCAAATCAGTTTTCAAAAGAGAGCTAATCTAAGATGAATTAACTTTTCAATGAAAATTAGCTCCACATCCACCATGACATGAGAAGTGACCTTGATTAGTGGGACCTTCTACTATGATGTGACACTCCAAGAGGGAGTTTTCGTTGAGTCTTAAAGAGGGGGAGTGTATGTGACATTTCAAAGGGGAGTATGTGTGACACTTTTAGACGGATTCCACATGAACAAAACACAAGAGACATCCAGAACTTATAAGAGACTAGATACTACTACTGAACAACTTGAGGTTAAGTATTTTGGGTCAGTAGTCTTGAATCATTATAAATAGTATCAGAACCACTCCGCATGAATCTCAAAGGGAGAGTGTATGTAACACCTCAAGGGGGAGTACTTGCTGAGTCCCAAAGAGGGTGATGTATATGACATCCCAAAAGGGGAAAGATCTTGAATTTATTTGAGACTAGAGACTATACGGGAGAAATCTTGAACTTATATGAGACTAGAGACTACTACTAAATAATTTAAATTTAAACATTTTAAATAAGTGGTTTAGATTTAATAAGTTATTAGAGCCAATAGTATCAGATCGTTATATATGACATGAGCAGTGACCTTGCTTGGTGAGACCTTTTCCTATATAAAATTTGATGTAATAAATTAAAATTACCTAGTGAACGGACTTATTTTAAGTTTCTTTTTTTGGATGGAGCAAATAATAATCATCATATGGATTCTTAGATGTGACGGCTTTAAGAATTGGACTTCTTAATTGTTTAATTGGACAATTTTATATGGATTCTTAGATGTGACGGCTTTAAGAATTGGACTTCTTAAATTGTTTAATTGGACAATTTTATGACGCGGAGAACCCGTTAAAAATGTTCAAGAGCCCCTAGTCAAATAAATAAATAAACAAAAGAAAAAAATTTGCCACGTAGGTTGGACTGAAAACCGTGAGGTGAGCAGTGACCTTGCAAGTTGGACCTTCTCCTGTATAAAATGCTCCTTTCCCTTCACTGTAGGTACTCTTCTCAAGCCAGCGTTCAGAGACTCTAAATTCTTTTATTGTCTGAATTCGGAAATGTCGTCCTCTCAGTGCTTTGAGAATCCTCCAAGCATCGTAAGTTCAGCATGTGGAGCAGGGACCGTTGAAGAAATTGGAGGCCTGAAGACCTATTTCTCTGGGACCCATGATTCCAGCCGTGCGATTCTGCTCATTGCCGATGCTCTTGGTAACAACCCATCTTCATGTACTACTTCAATCTGCTTGTTCCATCTCGAATTTTATAATTTCTTGTGTTTCACCTCTTTTTTGGACTCAGATTTAGTGTTTTTCCATCTGCATATTCGTTGAACGTCGTCTTGGTTTCTTGGTCTGTGCATACGATTTGTATTATGCAATTCTACCAGCGAAAAGTAGCATTAGAGCCTTTGTTTCATGTTGGGATTGTGGAGTGATTGGTTGTTTTAGGATCCTAGCATGTTTGGATTTGTTTTTGAAACATATTTCTGTTTCTGAATATAGAAAATTGAACTTGATTCGCAGGTTGTTCTCCAAAAACGCTTTAGGGAGAACTTTTTTAAAAAAAGGCCCAGTTTAAAAAAACCAAAAGTTTTCTCAAAATTGCAGTAATTGGTTCCTGCTTGGGAACAGATAACCTGTTTGCCGGTTGATTTGGAGAAGTGTTTTCAAGCGAATATCAAAGGAGAAAAAATATTTTTAGAATTCTTAGAAACTATTTTACTAGAAAATTAAAAAAGAAAATGTGGACAACAGGGTTTCAAGATTTTCGGCGTCTTCTGTTTCGGAGAACAGAGAAAATGGAAACTCAGAACAGAAAACCGAATAGAGATCCAAACCTTTTTATACACATATATAGTTATTATGTTTGAGCCATGAGAGACTGGTTATACAAGTTGGAATCGTAAATGGGAGTTCTGCATACCAATTCTCATTCCTTTTTCTACTTTTCCAGTTCACTCAAACTAGATATTTATGTATTTTCACTTTGTGCAAAATGTTTTGCAGGTTATGAAACTCCAAACCTAAGGTATGTTCAAATTTGTTTTGATCATGTGAATCTATATTTGACCACTCAATCAAGACTGCAATATTTATCTACTTCTCAAATTCACAAGTGTGACCAAATCTCGAGTTGGTAGTTACATGGCCTTTCCATTTGGTGCATTCTGGCTGTTACCCTATATATAAGAATCAACTTGGTGAACTCTTTTCGCAAAATCCATCTCCATGCTGATCTATCATATGTCTTGGCCTTTTGTTTTATTTTATTTTTTCTTTTTGGGAAGTTAAATGATTAAGTAATAGAGGCTATGCAAAATCAGAAGAAACAAACACTTGTTCTCAATAAAAAATTGTAATTACTTGGATCTTTCTTACTGAAATAATTCTTGTATACAGTGTCCATTTTTCTAACCGGATGAGTTGTAGGTTCATACTGCAGTTTCTGGAACCACTTTAGGCTCTCTCTCTCTTTATAGGGTATAGATGGGCCTAATCCTTAAGTAACTAACATAGCAGTTCTAGTTCTGTACATTAAGCTCATATATAGTGGATTAGTTAAAGAATTCCAATTCAAATATCATCTGAGAATTAGATTCTGAGAAGCAGCATGGATTAACTCAGATGCAGCTATTCTTTCTGCTTTCTTTGTTAACTTGTCCTCCTCCTCCTCCTCCTCCTCCTCCACCTGCTCGTCCTCTTCCTTCTTCTCCTCCTCCTCTCTCTCTCTTTCTCTCCCTTCCTCCCTCCCTGGTTCTAACTGTCCATGTGTTAGCCATCAAATTTAATCAAGAAATACATTCTTGTGTAAATACAATTTTCCCCACTGTCCCACTTTACAGGAAACTTGCAGATAAGGTTGCTGCTGCCGGATTTCTAGTTGTGGTTCCTGATTTCTTTTATGGCAATCCTTTTAGTCTTGATTATTCTCAGATAGATCGGGAAGCATGGTTGAAAGCTCATGGCACGGTTAGTTTCTGATTGTACTGAAATTAGCAATAATTCAGTGCTGATGTCTAAAAGTTTCAAATGAATAATCATTCCATTATTTCTCTCGACATTGACATGAAACAGTTCCACATTTTCACCATGAATTTATGCAATATCGTTAGGTATCTGGAATGCTGGATTCTTTAAGAATCTTAAGGACCATTTGGATTCAAGGGTGTTGGCCTCAATTTGTGCCGATTTAATAGGATATTTGGTTTCCTTTTGTAAGGAGGATTTACCATCAGAGAAGCCCCATTTTGAGGGTTTTAGTTTAAGTCTCAGATGAGGTCCTTCATTGAAAAAGCCCTAAATTCTTTCAATGAGAAAATTCACCAATTAATCACTTCAAAAGCTTTACGTTTTCCCAAGGAAACCAAACATCTTAATTCTATAGCATTCGTACACGTTGAAAAAAGAAAGCCCCATAGAAAGAGGCCCTAAAAGCAAACAACATCATTGCATTTCAGCACACAAACTGGGATATGCTTGTGCAATATTAAGAAAAATTAACCAGATAACACAATAAAGTGGAATAAATATTATTTCTTAAGGGCTTCAAATAAATTAAGATCAAAATGAAATGACAACGTTAGACTATCAACATGTAAAAATCATACTAGAATTTTTTGTTGAATAACAAAAACTTCAACATGAGTTTGAAATCCTTTCAGGAAAAGGTTACGAAGATGCCAAAGTAGTGATTGCTGCTTTGAGAAGCAAAGGGGTGTCTTCCATAGGGCTGCAGGATTTTGCTGGGGAGGTAAGGTCATTGTTATTCTCTCTAAGAAGCTTCACACTTGTCATATTTTTAATGGGTCTTCGTTGCCAAAGAGTCACAGGACTTAGCTGCTGATCTGGGTTTCTGGTAAACTTCTTAGGGGTGGTGGTTACGAGGCTAGCAAGGTCTGATGATATTCAGGCTGCAGTGGTTCTACACCCAGGACGCATCAGTGACGATGAAATCAATGGTGTGTTTCCTGCCAATGAATCACCAATATGGGTTATGTAAACAACCGGAGAAAATTTTAAAAATCCAACTGAAGCCAACCATGATATTGGGTTCAGTATGATTGAGTTTATTTTATTTTATTTTACTTTTCGATGTTTGCATGATATTGGGTTCACTATGATTGAGTTTATTTTATTTTATTTTTCCATGCTTGGTTTCATTTGGGTTTTCTAATCGTGAAAATCTGATGCATTTGTTCAGTTTTAGATTTATGAATAATATGAACCAAAAGAATCAAATAAGTAATCAGGTAACATATATTACCTTTATAATATTACAAATACTAATTCTACGTTCAACTTATATATATTACATATTCATATAATAAATTATATTATTTAATAAATAAAAAATGAATTTGATTTAGCTTTGCTTTCTACTAAAATGTTTGATCGCTTTTCTGGTTAGTTTAGTTAGTGTCCAGTTTTTAAAACCCTGAGGAGCTCGTCTTAGTTTGACTAGGTTCAAAATTTACCCCAAAAATCAAATTGGATGAAACCCTTTGCACCTTTATTACCCAAGATGTGTTCGTGATGAAAGGCATCTTTTGTCAGAGGTCAAGACTCCAATAGCTATATTGGGAGCTGAGATTGACAATTCTTCTCCACCTGAACGACTGAAACATTTCGGGAAGATTCTTTCAGCAAAATTAGAGGTAAGGCTTCACAAATTCACCCCGTAACTACTTTTATGTGCCAAGAAATATTGCACTTCTAAATTGCCCTCGATATAACTATCCATATTTTTCTTGGGTTCAGCTCTTTTTGACATGACTTTGTATCATTCAAAGTAGTGTCCATATATTAGAACCTCGATTATACGATAATAAAGAGTTTTTCATGAAGTGATAGATGTCTACTTTTCCATTGGAATGAGTGGTAAAATTTTCTTTCTCCAACATTTTACCTTAAATGTTTTTTTTGGCAGTCTGACAGCTATGTAAAAATATTCCCGGGTGTAGCACATGGATGGTCGACAATATACAATGTTGAAGATGAAGCAGCTGTCAAGAGTGCCGAAGAGGCCCACGGAGATATGCTAAATTGGTTTACCAAGTACGTGAAATAATAAGTTGGAAGAAGAGGGATTTATAATAAAAATCCTGTAGTGCTGAAATTACATAATAGCTGGGTTTGCATTGCAATGACACCTGAGGATGTCAAATATATATGTATTAAATGCTACTTCTAATAAATTGTTTTTACTTTCAAGAACTGCTAGTCTTAATCCCATAATTTTTTATTTTCTTTTTTTGGTTTTGGGGGGGGGGGGGGGGGGGGGGGGTTTGGAATCATGTTTTAATTCTCTGAATTAACAGAATCAACCAAATTTTGTCAAAACTGCACTGACTGACCTGTTCAACCGGATCGATCATGGACTAGCCATATACAGTTGCAGTTAGTAGATTAAATTGGAATGGTGATTGAACCGGTATGAACCAATAAAAATCAGAATAAATCAGGAAGCAATATAGGTCTAGGAAAACCGACAGCAGTTAAAAAAATTGGCTAGGCCCAATAAAAAAAATCCAAACCTAATTAATGAGTTATTTTTGTCTTTTGAGCTTCTATTTTATTATTGTTGGAATTTGACCATGACATTATAAGTTTGGAAGTTTGAAAATTATTTGGAAATTTAGTTTCCCCGTGAGTATGTCTTTTAAAAATTAAAGTGTTTATAAAAATTAATACATAAGTTTTTTAAAAATTTAAGATAATTTTATTATAATCCAGTTTAATCGTTGCTTGAACTATAATTGAAAGCCAGCCAATTATATCACCGGTTTGATTTTTAACACAATCGCCAGAATTGCATAGAGCCGTCTTCCTTTGGAGTTTTACTAATAGCATGTTATTAATATGACATTCTTTCCAAACAAAGAAAGATTCACCATGGCATCCGCATCTTCACTAAAATGAGAATATGCCATCTTATCTTTTAAAAGAAGCCAACGTGTGTTTGGAATGCACATTTGCAACGGCCACAAATTTAAGAATTAGGGTTTTATTATTTTATTCTTTTTTAATTTAATTCATATTAGCAATTTAATATTTTTTGTACTTTAATTTATTGAGTGTTTTATTATTTTAAGACTAGAATTTGTTATTTGAAGTACAACAAGAATGGGGAGTTAAGCATTAAGAGTTATATTACAATTAGGAGAATGGTTTGCATGTATTTGTAATTCTTGCTCTCCTTCATAAGAGATTTGCAAACTATGAATTGAGTTTGTGAACTCGCACTTCACTGATTGGTTGGAGAGGGCCTCCACAAATCCAGCGTGTGCAGTTCGACAAAAACACAAAGTTGACGATGATTTCCTAAACAAATCGAATGCCCTAAAATTTGAAACTCCTAGACTTCCCTCTCTCCTTCCGGGTTCTTTGTGCTCTCATTTTCATCAGTCCAATGCTGCAAGCAATTATACCAAGCGTGTGGAAAAAGTGGGAGAGGAATTACAAACAACAATTAAAAACCTGACTAGAGAGAAATCAGATCCTAAATCAAAATAAAAACTAAACAAATGAAATTAAAAGTCTAAAGTGAATATAAAAATACTAATTTGAACATAATAGCCCTGATATGAACTTTCAACGTAAAACTCTAATTTACCGAAAAGCATAACTTGGTAAATTAGAAAAAGAAACAGTCTTATTCATATAAAAAAGTTACAAAAGAAATACTTGTTGTATACAATATTTTGGCAATGTAATTTTATTTGTGTTTTTAATGTCTTAGAAATAGATGTGCTTAATTATATTTGATTTATTTCAGTTAATGTCTTAGCAATAGGGTTTAGGTTTTATTATTTAATTATGAATAATATAAAGTGACGCATAGTACGATAAAATGATTTTTGATGGAATAGGAATAGAATGGAATCAAGATTTCTTATTAGTATATTTGGTGCATACCGATAGAATAAGGATTTCATTTTATCATTATATTTGGTATGTTGGAATAGGAATAAAAAAAGCAAACAAAAAAAATGTTCAAAAACAAAATTATCCTTTATTACGAAGATTTAAAATTTTAAAAATAATTTTTAATATATTTTAAACATATTAAAAAATTTAAAAATTAATTTTTATTCTAACATTAAAATAAAATTCATATATATGTGTATTTGTATGTATATATATATAATATTTATATATTTATATTATAAATATAATAAATGATATAATATATCATATATACAATTATTATATTATACTAAATATATATAATCATAATTATATTATACATTTTATATAGTGTAATATAATATATTAATATATAATATTATAAATACTTATAATTTTCTATATTTGTACGATATTTTCGTCATTTACTTAAAAAGTAAAAGTAATATAGTAATTAATACCTAAACAGATTTCCTCACTCTATTGAAGGAATTTGAATTCCTTCAATTAATGAAATTTTCATTCATCAGGAAACGAGGATTTCCATTTTAAAATGCATACCAAAAATAATTTTTTGATATTTTTATTCATAATCCCATTCCTTTAAGTGATTTGTATGACAAATTAGTGTAAATTTTTAGAAAGCTGTGCAATTTTAGTTATTTGCAGGTCGGGATTTTATAAAACTCTGATTTTGGTTACTCGCAGTTCAAATTGGGGCATCCCTTTTCCTCTTCTAGTAATATCTTAGATTTTACAAATATTTTTTCTTTTATTTTTTTCACCTTAATTGCATATAGTTTGACACTACCTAATTTTTTAAAATAATTAATAAAAAAATATGATTTTTTTTTGTGCTCTCAGAATTTGAGTACTGGAAATATAATTCTATTTAAAAATCGTAATTTCGTGGAAACTGAATTTTGAATGGAAGTCCTGCTTTTAGCAAAGTGGCATAGGGACATTTTTGTCCTATTATTATTTATGCACACGTCAAATTTTCAAAAGCTTTAGTTGGTGACCGGCGTAATTATTTATTAATTTATTAGTTGCAGTAATTGTCCGCTCCTCTACTGAACTCCCGCTGACGTCATTCAGGCAAAGCCAGTGCACGGAACAAGATCTTAAAATACTCGCATTCCCTGTCAAAGGCTGATGTCAGAGATCATATCATTGATGTCTTCCCTCCTCTCTCTTTCCCTACAATTACAGAAGTCAGAAAGAGCATTGCCCATTCTTTGCGACTGCTTTTCCGCGAAAACAGCTAAACCAATGGCAGGGGCGCAGTGCTGCGAGAACCCACCTATCCTTAGCTCGACCAGTGGAGCAGGGCACGTGAGGAGTTAGGGGGCCTCAAGACTTACATTTCTGGCCCCCCTGACTCCAAGTTTGCTGTCCTTCTCGTGCACGACGCTTTCGGTACCTACCCAACTCTATTTCTGTGTTTCTTTCTCCGATTTGCCATCTGGTAGTTTAGTTAATATCTATTCGCGGCTCTCTTATTGCTTTAAAGTTTCAGTGCTATAATATGGATTTAAACAGAATGTTCGTGGTAGATTTGTACTGTTTGTATTTCTAGTCTCTTTAGTCGCGTCCTGCTTGTGATTATGAATCTGGAGACTGTATTACAATTTGCTTGATTTGGGTGAAAGGAAAGTGGGGGTGAATTCCAGTTTTCTCTCCTTGTGTCACTTTCTTGTTTGCTTCATATGAGGCCTTATGGTGTAATTGGTTTCCTCTGTCGTCTCATTGTCGCACAGCTAATTATATTTGTGATTATGTTCTGCAGGATATGAAGCTCCAAAAGCGAGGTATTTATCTATTCTTATCTTAACTTCGTTTTTCAATCATTCAGTTCATCTTTCGGGGCTACAACTCCCATTTATTTTCAGCGTGATTCAGTTTCTTGTTAGTTTTTTGCACCCTTTGCTTGATCAGTTATTATTTGCTTAAGTGATGTGGTTGGCGTTCTGCTGCTTATAAGCTTCAGATTCTAGAACCGCTGAACTTTCATCTTATTTGCTCTACCACTTGTAAAGTCATAAACGGACTCCCCCGTTTAGTATCTAGTTTGCTGAGATAAGAATATTCCAAATGCATAATCTAATGAAGGAAAGCAGATGAGAGTGGTAACTTCAGTCTAGTATGAGGGAAATTGACCATTTATATGTTATACTTGTTACCTAGTTAACTTACAGATGAGAGGTATAGAAAGAAATAACCTCCAATCTGGGAGAGGGCTGGCTGGAAGCAGTTTGGTGGTAAGGGTTTGACTGGAAGAGTGTTGACTGTGGGGTGGAAAAGGGGCATTATTGCTGGGGCGAAGGGACTGGGGGGCAGCAGGGAGCTAGGTTCCATGGTGTTTCCTTAAAGGTGTTGTCAGTAATGGTTGCAAAACTTGTATGATGGATGTGTTGGCAGTGGTTCATTTGTGTGTATGTGCCCTTGTCCCCTCGCACATATCTGTTCAATTATTTGATAAGAACTCCTTGGCTCCCTTGAGAAATCAAGGAGCTCAGCATGGAATTCTGATTGGAATTCTTCTTGCATCCACTGGTTATCGTAAGTTATGACGTGATTGTAGCAAAATGGCAATGCTTTTAGTTCTAATCTTGATTTCCTGGTAGATCCTAATACTTTCAGAAAGTCCATGCAGTCTTGAAAAATAAAAGTTGTTGAGATGCAGGGTTGATTAGTTTGCAACTCTAAAATGAAATAAAGTGTTTGTTTATCATCTTCAAGACTGAATTTTCCAAATAGTTGACTGTTGCCTCCTTTTGAGTTAGGACAACCAAGGAACAGAAGCTCCGCAGTCCACTCAATCTCAAAAATTATGTGCATACATACAGACATACATTCATAGATGTGTGTGTGTGTGTGTGAGTGTGTGTGTGTGTCTCTCTCTCTCTCTATCTATATATATATATATATATACACACACATATATATGGGAGTGGGGGTGGAAATATCTATAATGTCTATATAAGTGCATATTATTTTTATGTGTGGTGGAGGGTGCAGCATGAATGACATGACGTGGAAGTTTGGAAGAGATGGAAATTAAGTTCAGTGATAGGATTAAGAAATTCTTTAATTGCTGAAAATTATTCTTAACTGCAAGTCTAACCCCATCTTAAAGTCAAATAAATTAATTAAAAAACT